GCAGCACACCCTGTCAAGCTTGACCTCAGATATTGAAATTTTTCAACATTTGTCTGCATACAGTGCCTTGACGGCACAATAACTCTCATCTACTGCGGTGCGAAATTGCGAAAAAAAAATTGTAAATGCTATAATCCCTTTTTTAAAGGTTGAAAAGGTAAAAAGAGGTAAATATCTTAAAAAAGGCAAAAAAAGGCAAATATCTTAAAAAAGGCTAAAAAAGGCAATATCAAATGTGTATATATGGAATCAGGGAAAGCTAAGTCGTGGACATTCTTAATCGAATATATTCTATCTCTTTAGCAGAAAAAAGGCAATTTCCGTAAAATCCGTTCACCCAACACCTTATTTACGATCTTGTGCATACAAGAGTCAGCATTGCCATTGCTAAGTTTTGGTATGCCAGCAATTTCAATTGCGTTTTGTAGATGCTTCTGCTCTCTCCAATTCAGCTTAGACTCTAGTTTTCCCACTTTCTCTTTTAATGTTTTATTCTCCGCCTTCAGCTCATTTACCGCCAACAAAAAGTCCGAATTTATTTTGTTTAAGTTGATAATCTCTTCATACAAGAGTTGAAGAGTTATGGGTTTGCTAATTTCATTCGTGCCTTTAGTCATCTGCCGGTCGAGAGGTTGTTGGCACACGTTGCTTTCGTTTGCTAACGTTTTAAATTTTCTTGCTGCTTCTGTATGTTTATGTTGTTACTGTTGCTGGTTGCGATTTTTCTATTTTGCTGCTTTATCTGTGTACTCCCTCGTTCCGATGATGTGTTTGCTGTTTGTCGTATGGTTTGCTTTTGTTTATCCGTCTCTGAGCTGGGTAATCCGCTGGTTTTTGGTAAATATTTTTGTGGCTCGACGACAGAGGAAACCAAGGTTTGCAATTTCTGATGAACTTCCATAGCTGAGGAAGGGCTTGGAAGTGGTTCTTGATGCAGAGTTCTTCTGCGCATGGAGACACCCGAATCACACCGATAGCTCGCACTATTTGCTTCATGTATTCTATGTCTTCGAATGTTAATTTCGCACAAGAACGTGGTAGTAGTTTTTGCAGTCTGAGCAAGCAATCTTTCTACTGTCGGCGCGATCAACTTTTTCTTCGCAAATTAAACAATGCATTTTTCCGATAAAATAAGTCTAAAGATTACCGAGAAGACTTTAAGAAATTAATCAAAGCGGGCACCCCACGACACAATGGGCGCGTTCATAAGTCGTAGCTGTTGGGTAACCGTTGGCTGTTTGTCTTAGAAACGCACAGTTGAGTAGTTACGCTCAGCCCAACAGTTGGCAACTTTCCGCCATTTTTGCCAGCGGAAAATTTTTGTGCTACCTGAACTCAACGTGTTGGGCTTAGCCTAAACAGCTGATCGAAAAGACTTACGCCGCTTTGTTAGGTGGCAGTAGTAAACAAATTTATTATATTTTATATTACTGACGTGATAAAGTAACTAAAATATTTTATAATAATACTACGTCTCTAAATATATGTTTTTAAGATGTTTGCTATATCATTTTACACTGTTTAATTCATTGTAACATCGAACGATTTTTTCAACACGGCGGCCGCTCAGCGTTGAATTCTAAATAGTATCGGCGCAACTATGTTTGTTGCAATTTCATTTGTTTACATTTATCAGCTGTTCATTTGGCAGCATATTCATCAAGCCGTTTGTTTCTCAGACGTAATTGTTGGGTTCAACATTTGCCAGCAGTTTCGTAGCAGATGAGCTAAACAGCTACGTCTTATGAACGCGACCAATGAAAAACACGTCTTGTCTACTCAGCGGTTTATCTATCTCTATATATTCACAAATAAATTCACAAATAAAATCATATGTTTTAAATAGCGGACTGTAATTAACTAGAGATGGCGGATTGTACATATGTATGTAATTTTGTGCGTATTCTTGTTCTGAACAGCGATGACGACGATGTTTGCGCGTTGGTGGGTGCTAATGCTCTGCCTGTTGCTTTGCTTGACAAGTCGATTGGAGTTGAGTTGCTGTGTGAATGCAAGGGGAGCTTTTTCGAAGATCCTGCATGTTGTTATTAGTAGGTAAAGCGAAGACGAAGAAAGTGCGGTGAGGTGGTGATGGATTAGTTGCTGCAGCTGACGACCAGCGGTGATGTACATATTTATGTAACAAGTATGTGAATGTTTGCATACGTACATACATATGTGACTAGGAAGTAACAGTTGTGCTGTTGCTATGAAAACAATTTAC